TTACAAAGTCAATGGTATAAAGAGACAACCCAGGTCTATCTTAGTGATACAGGTGAGCTATTGTTCTTACCTTACAGGTGTAAATGCGATTATCGTACTGAGCGGAGTAGCGACAGCGATGCTTCGCTTCATGGCACACTCCTTCTCCCAAGTGGTTCATGCTGTTCTTGCAGCCAGACCTAGAGCAGAAGTTATAATGTAAAAATAACTAAAAACAGCAAGAGAATGAATGTTAGATGAAAATGGATAAAGAAGACAAGAGTTACTGACCCACAACTGAGGCAAAGGCTGGAGCAGGTGAAGTACTCATCTGGAAAGAAGCAGCTGTGAGCTACCAGCTCACCTGTAATCTCCCCATTGAAGCGCTCACTCAGTGCCTGCAGGACGGAATCAGCAGATAAGAACAGAAAACGTACAAACTTACAGTTTTTGATTTGCAACAAGTAAGGCAAAATATAACCACAAATGAGTTAAAAGCAAACTGGAGGCCAGTAGACTTTATCCAGCCCTACCTGCAGGGCTTTGAAGATGACCACAGGTGTGCGTGGAGAACGGGTGGCGTTGTTATCCAGGAGCTGTTCCAGTTTATTCTGCAGGCCACGGAAGTCGGTAGGTGGGCTGAGAGTCTGAGTGCCCCAGTACTGGACAGAGCTGAAGGCCTCTGGAAAACGGGAAAGCTTCCGGAAGCGCTCCAACAGCAGCCGATCTACCGACTCGGATGACTTATCTAAAACAACACAAAGATGGAGAGGGTATTACTGCAGATATTCTACTTGTACCCATTTTGGTATAAGGGAGAAAAACACTGCATTCCTGAAATATCAACGTGTTGAGAAAGTTGTAGCCATCAGTTCAAAAGATCACATGTAGCTCATTACATTTGTTGTCTGAAGTCTATAAGGCTCATGCCAGTTTTCTATCATGTTTTAGCACATTTACAACAAATCATGTGTACTTTATACACCAAAACATACCATGTTTTGAATGCACTTTTCTCCTTCATAAGCAGTGATTCTTTTCTTGCAACCTACTTGAGTGTGGTAATGCACCACAGTGAACATCAGGCTTTTTTTTTTATTATTTGTCAGTTATTTTATTGCTGAATGGAAATGGAGCAGAGTTCTTACAATAACCTGTATTTACACCTTTCAGCAATAACATATAGGCAGGTATGATGCTGATAGTATGGCTTGTATGCCTTTCTTCTTTTGCTATTTCTCTTATGTTGCTTTTATGTATTGTGTGTGTTTTAATGTGAAATTGTTGTTGTTGTTTTTTTCAATGTGAAACTGCTTGTGATGCCATCTTGCCAGGACTCCCTAGAAGAAGACATCCTGTATCTCAATGGGACATTCCTGGCTAAATACATAGGGTAGCTAAATAAATAAAATGCTCACTATGGGGGATTTCCCTAACTGAAGCAAACTGCAAGTCGCTGCAAGTTGATTTTCATATCACTGCAAACTGAATAAAACCCAGTGGCTGCATGGTAGTTATAAAAAAAAAACTTTTAAAATTGCATGTTTTACAGTAATGTAAAGTTTGAGTTGTAGCAAGTGGACTAAAACACAGAAAACCTGGTATTATCATTCAAGCGTGTAACTACAGTTGTAAGTATGTGTCATTTTTGACTTCACTGACACAGTTTTCGGTTTAGTTCAAGAAGCAGTGTTTACACATTTCTTATAAAGTTGGAATGCCGATTGCTACCTCCAGTGATGAAAGGCAGAGAAACAATGCAAGCTATTTGCTAAACCTGTAACTATCCGCTGTGTTTAACCTTTAGTTTACTTTAAAGAGACTGCCTCTCATCCTTTACAGTGATGCAGGCCTACATTTATGGCGATACAGTCACAATGTGCTGGTCTAACTTGTCTAATACATGTTTAACAGATGAAGTAATTATATTTCTTAGAATAGAAGTGGCGAGATATTTTACCTGAGCCAAGCAACTTAGTGTGAACTGTTTCATGGAAGATAACCACCGCAGGGCCCAGGGTGGACAGTGGGACATCCAGGCCACAGCGGGCCGTCGTGGCCTTCAACTCCTTGGTGAAATGCTTCAAGTAGGCGTCTGAGGCGTCCCCAAGGAACTTGAAGAGGTCATCATGAAGACGGTCAGCATGGGTGCGATAAATGATGAGGTCGGAGATGGCGAGTACCTTGAGCAACAGACGGGTTCTCTGGCCCTGTTTGGAACTGTTTCCAAGCAGCCCCTCCGTATCGATGACCACTACTTTGTGGATGGGGTCAAATGCCGCCCACACACCCACTGTACACGATTCTTGTGTGGGAGAAGTCTTGAACACTTCTCTCCCCATAAAGAATGTGTGGTTGAGGGTGTGAGATTTGCCCTCTCCTGTGTTACCAAAGATTGACACCACCTTCAGCAGCTGGTCGGGGTCGCAGTTCAGGCTCTTCATAAACAAAGCTTCATCTTTTATCTTTGAAAGAACAAGAGAGAGGTGGAAATAAGTTACTTAAAATGTTTTTTTTAAAAAGTACAAGTGTACACAAAGCGAAGAGACATTTTGATATTTGATTCTGTTCCTCACCTGCATTTCCTCATTCTCATCAACCAAGAGAAAACTGGAAACCTTCTCCAGGAGTTTTGCTCTCTGAGATTTGATGTCATCAGCGATTTGAACAGCAGGCTGAACAGGTGTCTGGACAGAGTTGACCTCTGCACGTTTGGGTGGTGGAGGATAAGATGTGAGCTGGTGTTTTTTCTTGTTGCTTCCACTGTGGGTGCGCTTCTGACAGTCTTGGCACAAGTTAACTTTGCAGTTCTGACAGCGGACCACGGATCTATGGCGTTTGCCATTGTCTCCATTACCTCCTTTACAGTTGTCACAGTAAGGGACATGTCCCGGACCTATCTGAACCCGTTCATGGCTCTTCAAATGCTCCTGACTGTGGAGCTCAAACTCACAACGAACACACTGCAGGCTTTTGCATTCATCACATTCAAATGCAGCCTCCTCAGAGCCACCACAGGCATAACTTTCTTGACATATTAGACTTGTATTAACTCCCTTTTCTGAAGATGAGCCATGCCCACTCATCGTTTCCTACAAGGTCAACTTGAATACTGAGCAATGCTTATTGGTACAGCTTTGGCAACAGCACCAGCTATTTCCAATAGCAGTTAATGAAAAATGCACAACATATGGTATTACTTAACTAAGCTGAAATGACCAAATACAGTGACTAAATCAACTTATAACAGCTGCATGTTAATAGGCCTGATGATTCACTGACTTTAACAACGAAGTCTCAACAACAATACATACAATTAATCAAATTAGATTTCGCATGAAAAATAACTTCATAAATTTTAAACACTTAAAAACAGGTTTATTAATGTAATTTAGTGCAACTAACAGTGACGCAATGAAATAGGAACAGTCGTCTCCTTGAATTACAGCTGATATCTTTTTACTACTAACACTTAACGTGTTCGTGCATTGAGGTTAGCAAATTGCTGCAGCATAACATAAAATAAGTGAGCGAATAAAACTATGAAATAACACAGAAACCTGTAAAGGTAGCGTGTACCGACCAAGACAATGAACTCTCCCTGAAGAGATGAATGTACAAATGTTGATGCTAACAACAGGCTAGCTAGCAAACTGACCCTCAATAGCTCGCTAGCAAACTCGGTAGACTATTTGGTATGCAAACATAAATACTTAGCTTACAGCTAGCTAGTTTCGTCGGACTGCTTTAACTTTTTCCAAAGAAAAGCTGTAATTAGAGAGCCACCAAGCCCTAACAGTTCATAGCCGTCCAAACAAGCAGCTAGCCTCCGGTCTGTCAAGTGAGCTGTAACAACATATCAACAAAAACAACAACCAGTCGATGTCAAAAGCTGAGGTATCCGCGGACTCTTTTACTTTAAAACGAGAGACAAATCCGTGCGATTACGTTTAAAAAGTCTTTTAAAAGTGTTACTCTGTTTGAATCCTTCCGAGCAGTGTCATTGTTTTGTTCTTCAGTCCCCTCCCTGGCAGATTTCTTCTCTAGCTACGTTATTTTGTTGCCAGGTCAGATCAGCTGATCAGAGTATTTTCAGTCACAGGGTCAGAGGATGGTGAAAGTGCGGTTGCATGATGGGAAACGTAGTTCTACGAGACAGGCCGCCCTGTTTGTGTTCTGTGCAGTTGCCAATCTATTATTACGTTATATTATATCATATTATATCATATTATATTAACTTCTTATACTCGGTTATTTCTTTGTTTGTTTTTCTAATCTTCTGTGGTATAAAAGTACATATGATAATACTGATGATATAAAACTGAGGAAATGATCTCTGAGAAAATTAACAAAATCAAATAGTTTGATCGTTTGAGTAAGTGTTGGACAAAGTGTTCAGTAAATTTTAATGAATTTAAAATCTTGATCATCATTGTATCTAAGAAAATTCCACATGGGTGGGTATTTTAAAAGTTGCCTAATTGTTGGAAACATGCCTCAACATACAGTAAGCTTTCAAACAGAGGACGGATTTAAATGGCTTTTGTCTTGTAAAGTAGCACTTCAAAGTATCAGCAGGTGACCATTTGTCCCAAATGGCACTTTGTGTTTTCCCTCCATTTCCTCACTGACAGTATCTTCCACTGCAGGATCTACAGAAGTCTTTTAGATTTATTCATTAAAGCCATTTTCAATGATTGAAAGAAAGAACAGGAATATGTCTTACACTGTAGTGCATTTATTACAAAACCTTTACTCACACACACAAAAATATGAACAGCAACACACAAAACATGAAACCAAGAACAGCAAGGGGAAAAGAGCAGAATATATAACCTTCTTAATACAGTGATGATCACATTTCTTACAGAATAAGCATGGATGTCAACACAGGCTTTAAGTCCAGTTCTTAAAGTGCACAATCCACATTTTGCAGAGAGATGTTTCAATAAAAATGCATAGTTTGTCAAAAAAAAAACTTAAAACAGTGTCCACCAAGCTCTCCACTCTTTGATTCCACATCAGATGTATCTGAAGATTTTCCTCCATCCACAATCACAAAACGTCTTTAAACGTCTAAGCAGGCCGAGCTTTTTAGATTTAGTGCCAGTGTTCTTGTGCTTAATGGCAGCAGACACAGCACAATCAAACACATCTTTGAGATTGTGTTGTGTTAGAGCTGAACACTCCACATAGTCATGAGCTCTGATCCTGTGTGCCAGCCTTCTGGCCCGGCTGAAGTGAACTGGTTTGGTGCGTCGCTGGTCCAGATGAATAAGGACGTCCACATTGTGGCGAAGGTCTGATTGAGTTCCAACAAGAACGATGGGAGAAGTTGGGTTGCCGGCACGGATCTGAGGGATCCATTTGGAGGTGATGTTGTCAAAGGAGACAGGGTTGACCAGGCTGAAGCAGATGACAAAGACATCCACATGGGCATAGCACAGAGAGCGGAGGTGGCCAAACTCCTCCTGACAGATCAAATGATGAGAGATGAGGAGCAGAGGACTAAAACTGGTCTGTGAAAGAAATCATAATGTGGTGCGGAAAATTTACCTGACCAGCTGTATCTATCAGTTTAACTCGAGTTGGGATGCCATTCACATGAACCATACCTGGAAGTTGAGTAGAAATGAATATAAGTTTTATTTCTGAGTCCAGCAGCTGTTGACCTTTAAACAAAATAACCTTAACTCACCAGTGAAAACATCAAAAGCTGTTTGTCTGTACTCGCTGTTGTATCCATTGAAGATGTAGCTGATGATCATGCTGGTCTTCCCCACAGCTCCATCGCCAACCAGCATGCAGCTCAGCTCTTCCCTCAGTCTGTTTGGTTTATCATGTCTCTGACAGGCCTGCGCCATCTTTCCTTGTATTATTACTCCATTATCCCAGCAGTTTGAGAATCCATGCAGGAGTGCAGTGTTACAGTAAAAGATGTTCGCTCCCCCAGGGGCTGGAGGACACCTCGATTTGAAAGAACAAAGGCGCCCAATCAGAGGAGTGACCCCCCCCAGCTCTTTGACTGTTTCCCTTTGATGGAGATTTACATAGTCACTCCCACCAAGATAGGCTGACCACTAGCAAAGGCCAGCTCATCTGACCTTAAAAACAGTACAGTATTATGAAGGAATAGATACTATTATTTATAGATCAGCCAACTTAGACTCTTGTTTTTAAATATATAAATTTAACTATCTATTTTAACTTTATATCTTCATATAAATAAAGCCAACCCTCATAAATGAGAAGCGATAATGTGGTTTTCTTTAAAAAAAACTTATCTCCGCTGGTGCAATTGGACTGAATTAATGCAGTAACGGGTGTAATACAGATGTTGGTCAATAGAGGGAAGTGTTGCTCCAGCGTCCTCTGCTTGTTTGTATCAATCTTGTGCTTCATCCAGGCACAGCCGTCAGTTTCCTCTTGCATTTTCTTCTTTAAGGTTGATGATTGATGAGTGAAAAACATCATATCACAGTAACTTTGCGTTACAGAAATCTTAAACTTCCACATTTGGTTGCATTAGAACAAAATTCAGTGTTGTGAAGGCACTGGAAGGCAGCGTTACTCTCTCATGTGAAAGGGCAAAGAGCACAGCTGAGGGGGGCATTGTTAGACTGTCACCAGCTGATTTTTATAGCAGAAACTTCATGTGCCATGTTTCATCCTGTCTTTTCCAGGGTGACTGGGTTCAGAAATATAAACATTCACTTTACAGATTACACTGCACTACTACTATTAGCACCAACAATAATAGAATCAGTAATAATAGCAATAATAACAGCATCAACATATTCAGTTTTGACCAAAACACCAACACCTGCCTCTTTTTACGGAACTGCTTTTGTTGCTCAACTGTGGGATTTATGATTGGTGTTAAGACATGTGCAGGTGTTGATGCACATAGTCAAATTTGCTTATGATCAAGCCTTCAGACCATCACCACACTGTATTTCTGTGCCTGGCCCTTACCCTTGTGAAGTACCGATAATAGCAATAATAGTACCATTGTCTTACTGTTGGTATTTTTGCTTTTACAAAACTCACCTGCTCATATTATTTTGAGACATTAAGGAGGAGGCTTTGTTCATTTTTTGCTCAAACTCAAGAACTCACAATCCACATTTTCTGCTCCACAATATCACAGCTGTAGCAAAAGATTTGCACAAGCATTGTAAGATGTGGTTTTAGAGAGCGGGAAATGTTTGGGGGTGAAAATACAGCTTTAAACAAAGTGTTGTTCCTTATCTGTCTGAGCCTGCAGGAAACTGTGCGAGCATTGTGTTGTAAGGTCCCTGCTTCCTGTTTGCCGTTGTTTCTCACTCACTCGTTCTCTTCTCCCTTTCTCTCCCCCTTTTTCCCACCACCTGCGGTGTGAGTGATAGAGTGTATTCCCCATGGTAGGACGACAACATCTGGTCCCCCCCCCCACCCCACCCCCCCCAACCACCCCACCTTCCAAACACACATCGTGTTGCCAGCTCGACTCCCATGCTACACCTCTGACAGCTGTGAGTCACAATGCGGTTCCTTAATCCAAGGTAAATGTCAAACACAGGAAACAGCCTTTAAATATCTCTACATCCAAAGATTCTTTTCCTGTAACAGCTTCTTTTATCATCATAGATCAACCAGTAAGCTGCTCTTCAGTGCTACAAATGCAAATACAGGCATTGTGAAACTGAATGCAAATCTGTTTGCAAGGTTTGCATGTACCTTAATTTGTGCAGCAGATGTCAGCAACGCGCTGATGACTTAAACTGTAGCTCAGTGACTAAAGATAGGGATGTGTATCTGTTACTGTAAACATGTTTTGTGTCTGCATTCTCACGCTCTCTCTCATTTTGCATGACTAGACATGCAGAAATGTATCCTGACACAGATTTATGGAGGTAATCTGCTTAGTAAGGGTCTCTCAGTGTGTGCAGTTTAGGAGAGGCCCCAATCTACACACAGCACACACACACACAAAAAAAATTCTGCTCATGCTGACTGACCAAAATTTTATACAAAGATAAACTATAAGATGCAGCCAAATACCCCCTCACGTTTCCCGTCAAGCATCGCTCTGGTTGTTACAAAGTAAGCAGCGGGATCTGACTGAAGTTTCAGTCACATATCAAATCTAACAACAATAGAAAAATCTGCCAGATAGGTGTTAAAAGATTATGCTCCTCCCTAAGCCAGAGATCAGCATGGCACGTTATAGACAGGGGCACAAAACAAGTGGCTAACACAGAGATGAGGCGATAAACAAGCCATTTGCATAACATTTCCTGCATAATGTGCCTTTAAGTAGATACTGCCTAGGCTCTTAAGTGGTGAGGATTAGATAGGGATGGGTGCCTCCATCATACTGAGACCCCACATAATGGAAACGCTTTCCCTCGCCTTCTTTAGTTCCTAGGTGTTACTTGAGGGTCACGGCTGGGACACAGTGTCACTTGCTTTACATATATTCGATGTAATCTCTTTGACAATGTTTGCAGCCCAATGTCAAAGGTTCTGACCTGCTTGGTAGAATTGGACACAAAACATAGTCGACGGTGGATTATCTTGAAGCCTTGTGTTGAACCCTTGGGACGCAGTTTTAACCCCTTTACTGATGCGCCACATTTCAACATATGTGCATGTTGAGCCACTAAATATTACTCCCTGAACAAGTTTCACATTCCAGACGCTTGTAGCAGGCCTACAAATACACAGCATGTTACCGCTAAGGATCTACAACCATGCTAACAGCTCTGAGGCTGTAGTAGTAGGAGTAGTAAAAGCTACCAAACAAAAACACCCGATAACGATCAAAACCACAATGTGAACTTTATGTTAGTGGTAGAGGAAAAGTCAGGGGATCACCAAAGTCTTTCGAATTCATCTTCTGTGGAACATGAATGTCTGCATCAGATTTCATAGCAATCCATCCAATTGTTGTTGTTGTTGTTGTTGAGCTATTTCAGTGTTAAAGTTAAAGTTAAATTCCCATTTATCCTCATACTACTTATACAGTATTACCCAGAGCACTGGTTTGAGTGGTGGGGTTTCGCCATGAGAGTCATACCGTGTATATCTCCAGTTTATTGGCAACAGGATACAGCCCCCCTCCCAGGTCAACTCGAATTCTAGCACCTTGTGGTCACTTCACAAAGTGATTCATGGGAATCCAGACCACTGTGGATCTCTCCCACCTCTGCCCTACCTCCTAGCCGACCCCTGTTCACATTCTTGACTTGCAGCCAACAGTTATTGCAGGAAAGCATAAACTCTGACTGTGAATACATTGTGATCGTGTGAATCGGATATACTTCCTTGCCTTTTTTGTTGGATCAGTGCATTTGCAGTTAATCTGAATCAATTTCATAACAAGTATTGTATCATTTGGATGTGAACCAGCTTAGGGTAAACCAGCCTGTCCCAGTTTTTAAGTAAAGCCTGAGTGTTTTGGGGCTTTTGTTGGCCAGCAAGCATCCCTGTCAATTTAGTTACTACTGCTCCATTAAACCCTGGCAGGGGTCCAGGAGCAGTGGACTAATCCCCCTTGTACCCTCCAGAGAGCATCACAGGGGGTCAGTTCTCTGTCCCACGTGGGATACACAGTATAGACTTGCTCCAAAACTGTCAGACAAGAATCCCTGCATTGATCGGCTTGGTGGTGACAAGAGGAATATGCACATTAATTTGTAAAATATTAGATTTAACACACATTTAAAGTTACAATGTGGAACTTTTCCACATTAAAATATCTAAAATGACTAGTCCTGTTATATATTTTTTGAGTTGTGTACATACATCATCCCAAATGTTTCCAGCAATTCTCAAAAAAAAAAAAGAAAAGTGATTATGTAGATGTCATTCTGTCGCCTATCAATGACATCATATCCACTATGTACATGGGTCAGAGTTGTGGTTGCCTGCCAGAAGCTCAAAATGGACTTTTGTAGAAGTAGTTTTTAGCCACATACACTTTTAACATCTTGGTCGTTTTCAACTATATATTTTAACCAGATGAAGGATTTTAGTCATCGGACGTCTGGATCTTAAGTTATCACTAAAAACAACAAAAAAAACAGGCAAATGTTAGACAGCTCAGTTCCCGGCTGCTGGTAACCTGCCCTGTGTCTGCCAAAGAGCATCTGCGAATCTGTAACTTTTGTAAGTGAAGCTGCTTTATTCATTTACCGGCTGTCATACCCTGGTCCGTTCTTCGTGGAGGACACCTCTGCGGTTAATTCGTCTGCCGGTAAAAACCTGCTGAACGTCTGGTTCAGAAGTTATCAGAGAAACAATCTGAGGAACAAAGGTTAGTAGCAACCCTTCCCTGACTCTCGTGTCCACTGTACAAAACACTGACTTTAAATGTGAAAATAACTAAGTCATTGTTTTTAACGGTTATAATCACCGGGTCCGTCTCCTGAACGACTGACACAGAAGGAAATCAAAACGGGAGAAGTTTACGGTAACGGTGGTGAAGACAACGACTCCCATGATCCCACGCTATTCATGACGTCACTCAACGCCGTCAAGCATACTAACTTAAAAAAAAAACTGAAGTTGCTCTTACCAAAAAAATGACGGAAGTACCGTGTAAATGAATAATCTTAAGTCGCTTTTGTATTTTTGTTAGCTTTGGACAGGGCTAGGCTAGCTGTTTTCCAGTTTCCAGTCTTCGTGTTAAGCTAACCGGCTGCTTGCTGTAGCTTCATATTTACTGTACAGACATGAAAGCGGTATCAGTCTTCTCCTCTAGCTTCCAGCAAGAAAATGTATTTCCCAAAGTGTAGCTTTCCTCTAACAAAAATTAAATAATAATTATCATAGTATATGTTAAACTGAGCAGCTAATTAGCAGAAGTAGAATGCAGATCAATATAAAACAAAATTTTATTAGGAAATATATAAGGTGCCTTGCAAAAAAATTTCCACAGCAAATTAAATGGTTAGTAAACTTCCTATGTGACGTGTTTCCCAAGACTGGGAATTACAGTGTGGATTTCCATGTTGAATACAGCGTCACCTGGTTCCAGGCCTACACGTGTCTGTGCATGTCTGTGATGAGCCTCATAATACTCTAACTGCTGTTTAAGTTGTTTCCCAGTCATAGCTGATGACTATGTTAGTGAGAGAGAATGTCGTCCAGTCACAGATTTACAAAACATCAGGAAAAACCTGATGCTCATTGTTTCCAAGTGGGTCAGGTGTGATGGCACAGGTTTTGTCATGAGTAATTGAGTCTAGCCTTATAGTTTAAATTACTGATTTGCATGAAAAGTACAAAAGATTTAGAACTGAAGATTTTTTTTTCTTACAAAGCTATACAAATCAGAATAATTTCACATACAAATAAAAACATCAGTAACTCAGCGTCTGAATGTTTGATCCCAGGCATTACAGGGAACTGATAACAATATCAACAGGGATCTCACCCTTTGGCCTTTGAAGCATCTGTGTTTTCTTTTTATTTTAGTTTCAATTGGCTCCACATCAATCCACACAGCAGCATATGTTCTTGCAGAGCATGATTAGAATCTATTTAAACAGGAAATTCTGTCGCAATTGGCTGATTAACATGAGAACATGATCTTTTCAAAGGGATAAAACTTTCCAAACAAACACAAAGCATCATTATTTGCTATTACACAATTAGGAAACATTTGACTCACACTGGAATAAAAAAAAAAGTGTTGTGTGAAGCTTGTTTATGTTTGTAAACACTTAAGGAACAGGAACAAATGTCATGTTGGTGAGATTGTTTTTTTTTTTTTTTTTTACTTTTGCATTTAATAAATGCCTTTTCATTGCACAAGTTTAGCAAAACTTAACAATTAGTTCCAGATAAAAGGAGTGATTAGAAGATGAAATAAGCTTCTGGTAAATTTCATCAGAATAGAATGAAATGAAACCTTATAATTAGTGTTAAAATGTGCTAAGGTGGGGTTATAATTATACTCTAGCAAAGATATGTTTCCCTCTAAAAACTGCAGCATTGTTAGCTAAGTGTTTTGCAGCACAGAGACTGTCACAATGACTGTGCAGCTGCTTGACTGCGGGCTGCAGTCGAAAAAATGGCATTGATATCGAACCTCTGTGAGTGTGTGGGAAACAGAGCTCCCTTTCCTGTTCTTTGAGAGAAAACACTCCAGAGAAAAATGGCAGGAAACCTCCAGGGCCTTTTGATTCAGGCTAAGAAAGTGAGTCATAGTACCTGAGAGCTTGGAGTCGTCATAATGTCAGGGCCATCTTTAAAGTCAAAACGTCAAAGTTAAGCATTGGGTAAGAAAGTCCAACAAGGACTCATAAATCACAAGGTCTTGTTGTTATGATTTGAAAGTCCCAGCAGGGTCAGGTAGAGAGAATACTGATGACATATGCATCATGCATCATAAAGCATGATACCAGTCAGCCACCCCATCTGTATTGCCCAAGTATGATGTGTTATTACAGAGTGCAGTTTTGGTTAAGCATATCAAAGTTTAACTTTTAAGTTGTGCTTGCTGTTTCCAATACAGCATGTATCCGCCAACAGGGGGGGCTGGAGCCTCATCTCTCATCTGCATTACATCCACTTTAGAGCCTCATTCCACTGAGGACAGTGGACAGTAGACATTAAGTCCACTCCAGCTTCAAACTGTTAAATACAGCTGATTTTCATAGACTCTGTATCTGTGATTGTTCTTGACAGTACTTTGTCTTGACAAGATGATCCCAAAAATAAATAACATCACTATGTTGGGCATACACACATAATATACATTTCTTTGTTAGACTTATAAGCAAAGAAATTGACATATATGCCCATAAAACCTTCAAAACATTGTGTAATAACGGTGCTTTATATTTTCAGTATTTTGTCACCTACATTAAATGTGCAAGTAAAGTTAGTGATAAAGGGAAAGTTTACCACTTCAATACTTTTCTACATATTATGGTCTCATTATAACAAAAGAAAGCAGATATTTAAATAATTTATTATTATTATTATTATTATTATTACAGTGGTGGGGTTAGCGGGAACCCAAACAATTAGGAAGTATAACGCATTCATTCGAGGAAATATTTACACCACACCACTATTTTAAACCACTGTTTTTACCACTGTTTCATGACGTCCTTGCTGTTCCCCAGAATTCACTGTTCATGTTTAGCAACTGCCAATGTGTCAGACTTCTTCTGGTGTGACCTTTTTTGGGTGGGGGGTGGGTGGGGGGGTATTGCGCAACCATTTTATTTTTGGCATGTGTTGACATCCACAGTGTAGATAACATCATTCACTAAGTAAGCCAACCATGTTAAAGACATCTTTAGTGAGTTGCCCAATCGTCTGTGGCACAGTCTGCCATACAAACACAGTGTGTGTTTTTTATCAAAACATTCACCTGTTCCTCCAGGCACAGGGTGTGATGGTATCTGCACCGATACCCTTAGTGTCTCTTACGCATTCCCTCCCAACGAGGCAGTTCAGCAGAGAGATTGCACTTTACTGTCTTGACTGATTTATACATGAGACAGAAGTGAAAATCTAATCTGACAGATAAATAATAGAATGCATTATTTGTGGGCATTCAGACAAACTTAAGGAGATGAACAACAGTAACTTTAGCGGTGTCACTGTAGCGCTGCACTTGGCACTGGATGCCACCTGCTTCACTCAATTGTTCTGCCTTCATAATGTTAACACCACAAGAGGTTAATTTGACTTCGCAGCATGTGATAACTACAGCAGTTGCTGGCGTGCATGCTGCCAAAGTGGAGCAGGCCTTCATCAAACAACACACTTAGACGTTTGCACCTGCGGGTGCTCATACTGAGCCATCTGCAGAAGTAAAAGAAGTTTGCACTGCCTAATTGAGTTGGACTCAGATATTTCCTGGCATTCTTGCAAAGCAAACTTGGGAGCATGTACACACCCTGTTACCTCTCTTCCCATTAATATTACTGTCAACTCAAATATGCTTTTGATAAAATGTTTTATTGGCCATTATGTGTCATGAAACCTAATGATATAACGACCTCCTGGGAAAATTTCTAGCTTTGTGGTCCTGGATGTCACAACAGAAGGATCCTTGAGAGCATGCTGATCCTTCACCAGACAAATACAACATAGGCTCCAGATCACAGGTAAATGTGAATTCCTGTCCAATTAGTGTTAGTTATAGTGTGTAACATGGTATATCTACTAATAATTATCATCAGGACAATAAAGTCTCAGCTCATGTTTATACAGTGCAGCGTTTGTAATGTTTCAAGTTGAAACAGATAAAAAAAGTTCACTCGCAGACACACTCACAGAGCCATTTATCCCTCAGGGCCTGACACCCCTCGGCCATGCCCGGGCAGCTGTGGTGGGTCTGAGTGTAAATGAGATTAGGGAAATGAAATTAAGAGCAGCAAAAGTGCCATTCCTCAGGGATAGAGCAGGCTAATGAAGCAGGAGGCAGCTCCCTGGCTGGAGCTTTAATTTTGTCAAGCCTGGTTCAGTCCCCGGTCCTGCTCCAAACAGATTGGATTAAAAGATCCAGTGGGTGTGAGTCATGTTTCTGTTTAGATGAGAAGAAAGAATTTCCACATCAACCACTGGTGATGATGAATGGATTAAAGAATAGTGTTTATGATTGCACAATGATGGATGAGCCTGAACTGCTGTATCCCTTCTGCGTCATGAAACGAGGACAGCAGAAGCTCTTGCCCATGCCAGAAAACAGATTCAGTCTTTTGATCTAAGAAACCAGTTCTTTTAGTAAAATATATAACATCTGGAGCATTAGTTTCAGCTTCTATTTGTTGATTGATCGAGGGGCGAAAGACGGCATGTGCTTTACAGCCAAATCATTAGCCATTGTTTGTGCCCTATTAATGGACAGTCTTCCTCTTGTGGTGAAGTGGCCTCCATGACCGCACAGCACTCATGTCCACTGGCAGGAGCCCAGAGAGGGGTGAGGTGACCCTCAGCGCGGACGGAGCTGAACTCTCAATATGAGAGGGCTATAGGGCTCTAAAGCGGATGGCCTCCATTAGTGGCCCAATCACTTTCTCTTTAACACACTTCCAGGGCCGACCTTCAGCCCCGCACTGACCAAGCCAAGGTCAGAGGTCAAGGTTCAGGCTGGGTACACATTAGCATGCAGGTGAAGGCTCCAAAATGCATTAGTAGGAATAATGTTTTCGGAATGTGTGACCACTATACTGGGTGGTGATAGACCAAACACACATCCTGAGGACATGACCTCTGTCCCCCACTTTGCCGTATTGTGTATTTTCCTCATAATCAGTGTGTATGCTCTGTTGAGAAGATAATGACTGACATCTTTTCGTGGAGAGCGAGTGACCTCAGGTAATAATGTTGATTAGGGGTTCAAAGTGCATAGGGAGCTCAGTCCATCCATGTATGTGTGTTGTTACTTTTGATTTTAAGTCAATATATTAAGCTTTTTATTGAAGATTTTATTGGGTTTTATAGCATATCCACTGAAGATGTTCCAAGGATGGACA